ATCAATGTACAGCATATTCTATAAATATGTACCCATAATTCCCAAGTGTTCCATATCAGCAGATCTTTCCTTGGGTTTGGTGAAGGTTTCATCAGTGTACTCTCTGTACAGCACCTTCTTATATTTTGAACCAATGAATTTGCCTTCTTTCTTGAGGAATTCATTGCCTGGACTGAATTTATCAAAATAAATACAATTTAGAACTTGCGTGTAATTCAAACACAAGCACACACACACACACACACACACATACACACAAAACAATTCTCTTTTCATAGATATTACCTGACTAGTCTTTGTATATTGAATTTAGACCAAAACTACACTACACAACAAACTAAGCTACACTTAAAACTTAGTTGGACACTTTACTTAGTTGGGATTTGGTGTCACCGACGCATTTATTCGCTGATAATCTTGCCTTTCACCATAAATCTCAAATCTCAATTCTCATCCACATCTGTATGTTGATGCTTGACATATAAACCATGTTTGGTGTCAATGATGCTAACCACCACTTGTGTTCATTGTGTATCTTTGCAAATGGGATTCATGAGTTCTGGTGAAGGACTTGGAATACCTGTCTTTCAGACTATGGTACATCTGTTCCTCCCATGTGCGGGTGGGTGAATAGTCCCAGTCCATCTCAACTGCAGCGATGTAATACTTCTTCTGGTGTAGCATCGTCTCAGACTGACGGTTCCAGAAGCGGCACTTCTCCACGGTGTAGTTGGCTCTCATGCCTCCATGATAATGATCTGTGGTTTTACATCCCACCTCAAACTGTCCTGCAGACGCCACAGGTTACATCATCAGAACAGCACAATATGTGTACAACTCTGATGTTTATTCTTAAATGCACAATTTATGTGATCATGTAAGTGATGCTGATTTTGCTGTTTTAAGCATAGATTTAACAATGTTCAGTGAGGTTCAAAAGATATTTTGAAGAATTTTCAATTTGGTCCACTGACTTTGTATGGACAAAAATATTTTTCAAAATAAAATCTTTTTCCGCAGAAGAAATGCATACAGATTTGGAACAGCATTGGTTAAACATGTCAGCTGATCAAAATGAGAATTTAACTCACTGTTTTAAGTTGATTCAAATACCATGGTATTATAATAAGACTTTAAATGTGGCACATAGTTGTTCTTTGTCACAGCGAGATCAAAGAGAGAAGGGGTGGGACTGTACCCATGCTGTCAGGCTCCATAATGACAGTGTGAGAGATATGAGGAAACACGTTGATGGTGTCTCTCCTGGTGTCTTTGTAGAGGAACCGGTTGCCCTCAAAGTAAAGTCCATGGATGTCAACCTCTGATCCTAGTCCGGACAGATGCCAGGACACCTTATCACCTTTACACATACTCAAGCCCTTCAGATTCCCATACATGTATCCATTGAGTGCTGTGAATGAAAAACAAATATTAGCACACAAAAAATGGTTTGTGTGCTGCAGAAATGCAAAAATGTTTTCTTAAGGAGTGTGACTAAGGCTTACAGTGCATTTTATTGGACTCTTGAAAATCTTCATCTTCTCTATTTACAGATTTAGGCTGTTTTGCGAATCTGTTGATGTTGTCATCCAAATACCAGCTCAGGTTCTCGTCAAACACAGTTGCAAGAAGGTGGAACTCTTTCTCCACGTTTTTCTTGGATGGAAAAAATATATATTGGCAAAGCTCTACACATTTTACAAATGTGAAAATGCTCAGCATCCTCGTCCCGCACCTGCTTTCCTGATTTGATGGTTTTGGGCTTGCAGATCAGAAGAGGTCCAACCAGCCCAGAGTTGGTGTCTCTAATGGGATCCACGGCTGAGTAGTACATGTAGGTGATGCAGTCTGAATCTTTTTCGGTCGGTCCTCCATCCTTAGGAACCACCCACTCATACTGGTAGGTGGTGTCAGGTCGGACCAATGCAGCAGGAAGTGGCTCGACCACTCCTGAAATAGATGAACAACATACAACTTCAACATTTCTACATTCAGTGAGTTTTTTTTTTTTTAATTCTTATTTTTATTTTTTGCCTTATAAATAATATGAAAGACAAGACTTGATTTTACCCAAGAATTACCAAGATGGATTCAGAGCTGAATGGGGACACTTAATATTTGTCAATATTGTCGGCTTGATTGCACAGACACTATTGGAAGAGAACTGAACTGAGCTGGACGATGATATCACTGAATCAATGATGCCTTTAACTGGAAAAAACTAAACTGTTTACTACTGTCCTCTTTTTAGAGCTGCGTTAAAGCAAAGTTGAATTGTGTTTGCATTATCAAAACATTATTTTCCTGTTTAACACTGTAAAGCTGCCTTGACACCATCTGTATTGTATAAAGCGCTGTATAAATAAAGGTGACTTGACTTGATTTGACTTGGATAGTGCAAGGTTGTCCAGTCCTGCTCCTGGAAGGTCAATGTCCTGTAAAGTTCAGCTCCAACCAGAGCCAACACACATTCCTAGAAGTTTCTAATGATCCTAAAGACCATAGTTGGAAGGTTTTGGTTGTGTTTAATTCGAATGTTAGGATTCAAGATAAACACTGCAATGCAGGTGCAGGATTTGACACCCATGGGATAGTGAATCATGAAACACCACCAGTACCTATTTTTAAAGGGCTTTTTGACCGGAATAAGAAAGAATCCCTGCAACCCTACATATTGGTTTAGAAAATGGATGGATCAATAGCTAGTGAATGGATTATGAAGACTTTTTTTCATATAGAGTAATGGAACTGTGAATTGTTCACAATGAGACCAGAAACAAGTATTAAGGAAGCGAATAGGGTGAACTTGATTCAGTTTTCCCCTTTGTTTGTTCTCGGTAAAGCAAGTCATGCGTTCACTATCACCCAGATAATTCAGAGAGGGAACTTTGGTCTCTCATGGATTTGGACTGATTTGTTGAGTCCAGCCAGGACTGGAAAATACACTTTTGCGCAATGATCCCTGGCCTTGATTCAATATTAGACTTAGTAGACAACAGTCTGGGTTTGCTTATCCCTTCATTTCCAGATCTTTCTGTATATCAGTGAGGTCTTTTTCTTACTTGCTTCTTTCTTGAGTTCACGAAGCTTCTTGGCAGTGTATGACTCTGCATAGAAAAAAAAGAATGGAAAAGAATGATATTAAGTTTAAATCTGTCATACATTTTTATATATTTATTCAAAGAGGTTTGTTCTGTACCTTCCAGGACGTTGTGGTAGAGAGTTCCGTCCATTTCTATGTTATATTGTACTCCGTGAGGTTGGATACTGTAGGGCCTGCTTGCTTTATTTCTAAATGTTACTTTAATTGTGTCCTCTTCCTCTGCTCTGATGATTGGACCTAAAAAACATCCCATAAACACTAATTTATACTTTTAATAATCTCATAACAATCAAAGCTGTCACAAATTCAATACAAATACAATCTGCAAATCACTGCTTTTCATTCTGCTCTGTCGACAACATTTGTTTATCTATAGAAACTGCTTTATAATTACCCAGAATTCCCAGATGCTGCTCCTCAGGGGTCCTCTCTTTGCGTTTGGAGAATGTGTCGTCAGTATATTCCACATATTGGACCTTCTTGTATTTGCCCCCAATGCGATCATTGCGGTTTTCAAAGAAAGTGTCAGATACACTGTGGATATTCAGAGACACACGCTCAAATGTAAGGACAAAAGGACATTCCCTTTGACTTTAATATGTCTCTCAGTATAGAGATTAAAATCATATTTTTACCTGTCATCAGCTAGTTTCTTCCCTGAATACTGGTTTATGCCCGTTGGCCCATAATCCCAAATGATTTCCTCAGCAGCAATGTAATACTGTCTCACTTCTCCAAACGGTCTGGGTTTATGTACATTTGGGAAACACTTCTTAATCTCAAAAATGGCTTGCATGCCAGCTAAAAGTGGGGAGAAATGTCATTAAATGCAACACAGCAATTAGAACAATTTGTGCATTCATATTGTCAGATCTGGCATTTCTGTACCTTCCAGATGATCATTGACCTGGCAGCTGAGGAGCCACTGGCCGGGATTATCTGCCACCATCTCTACATTAACAAAAGTAGCCGGGAACAGACTGACGGTGTCAACATGGTGCCGTTTGTCCGTCAGGATCTGTCCATGGAAGAAGGCTGAGTGGAGGTCCACCTCATTCCCCATCCCAAACAAGTGCCAGTGGATCTTATTGCCCATGCACATACTGAGGTCCGGCAGGTTGCCGTAGACATACCCGTTGATAGCTACAGTAAAGTTCAGAAAGGAAGTTGAGATTTCAGACTATTTTTAATAAATAGTAGTACGTAGGATATACTCTACAGTATACTAGTATTCTAGCTAATTCATAAAATGTGCCTAGAACAGGGTTTGATCTGATGGCCTGTTCACAGTTCATGCTATCATTGTGACATTATTCTAGGACATTATTACTTAACTCACAGTGCATTTTATTGCTTTCCTGGAAGCCTTCATCGTCTTTGTTGACTTTGGCAGGAGCTGAGCAGTAGGTCTTGATATTTTCATCCAGGTACCAGCTGAGGTTCTCGTCAGACACCGTGAACATGAGGGCGTAAAGATAGTCAGCTGTCTTGTCCCCATGCACATCTAGAGAGCCTGAGAATTGCACAAACAACAAAGAATCATTCATTGTTTGTGGACTGTATCAGAACTTGAAGTGTGTTCATTACAGTATACAATGACTTTCATGGCGGTCAACTTTTTTATAAGAATTTTTGTCAATAATTTTAAAGTACATAATCATTTGAGTCATCATTTGCATTCCAAATTGTCACTGTGTAGCAGCTAGCCAGATGTTTAGAACAGACTTATCTTAAGTTCCCTTTCATGGGAACTTCGAACTGCATCCTCTAGGGGTCGCTATGGGGAACGCCTCGTCGTGACCCGTGTCTGAAGCATACATTGAAAAAACAATAACTCGTTGGCCGGCGACAGCCATGACGTCACTACCGGTGCGACTATAGTATAAATAGGTGCCGGGAACACACATCATTCTCTTCTTCATCTTCATTGACTGTTTTGTTTGAAACTTGCATTTCTGTAGTAAGAGCGACCTATTCATCTCATTATATTGAGCACTAGCAAAGCGTTTAAGGATGTGTGCATCAGTGTTGACTAGTGTTGCTTTCAACAAAAATTATGACTAAATATAGTCGTCAACGAACCTTTATCACGTGACGAAAACGAGACGAGACGAGACGTAAATGCTGGTCATGTGACGATGACGATAATTAAATGTACAATGCAATATCGTTGACGAAATGTGGCTTACAAAATAAAAACTATGCTAAAATGTCTCTTCATTTTCGTTGACCAAAATGAGACGAAACGAAATGTTATAACGTTATTTCGTCTCGTTATTATTATTATTTTGCAGTATTTCTGTTTCCTGTGTCTCACTTCAGGGACTGCATCAGGTCGCAGTGCGCAGACGCAGGCGACGTCACTTCCCCAAGCCCCACTCGCGGAATTATTTAGAGCAGTGTTTCCCAACCGGGGTGCCCCGTCTGTCGAGAGCAGGGGTGCCGTGTAAAAAATCATTTTATATATTTTTAAATTGCTAAAATGTTCAAAAAAGCAGCTATTATATAATATCCATTTCTAATGCCGCCAATAATTAGAGATGCACAGAAATTCAGGCTGTCGAAAATAAGTTCACCGCTCAGGATTCACTTGTGTGTGTGTGTGTGTGTGCGTGTGTGTTATCCCGCTCTATGCGTGTGTGTATTATCCATAGACTGTATGGTATTATCCCACTCTGTGTGTGCGCTATCCCGCTCTATGCGCGTGTGTGCTCCGCTCAGTCGCTCGCGGCCCATGTGACTGCTCCACTCATATACCGTTCATGCTCATCGGAACAGCAAAGTTCACTCAAAAATCAAGCTGGAAGGGAATGAGCTCGTGGGGATCGCAGGTGGATCTGGCCGATGAGTTTGAAGGGGGGTTTCCCTTTCGCGATCGTCGGCTGTGCACGAGAGTGAGCCGCTGGAGGATGATGTTATTTCATTAACATTGTCTGATTCAGGGGCCAGTGCTCTGCTGGGATCAGCCCAGCAAAAGCAGGAAATGTCTGAGGAGGGCAAAGAAGCTGAGGCTGAGCCTTCCCAATCCTCCTGTCCTGCATATGATGAGCGTTTGGAAATTATGGATCGCGCCAAGGCGAGGCTTTACTTGCCGTGAAGCGGGTGAAGAAAGTGACGTCGCGAGTATCTCGATGAACGTTATTTTTCTGGCCATAACCCTCCAGCTCAGGTGAGCCTTCCTTTCTTCCTGTTTTCCATATAAAGATTGAGAAGGAATGGAAGAGGCCGTTTTTTCCTCATGCATCCATCGATTCCAGCATACGAGTTATGCCAACATCGTTGCGATGCGCGAAAGCAGTTATGAGAAGATGCCCCTATAAAGAGATGCTGACCAGCTATCGCTCTATGGGTGAGACGTCCTCTAAGACTCCCCTCCTTGACATCTCGCTCGGATGCCAGGGCATACGCAGCAGCAGCAGGTCGGGCTGTCGCTTCATTGCACATGATGGTGATGCTCCAAGCATATCAGGCTGACCTGCTGAAAGACCGGGATAGTGGGCTTCACGAAGTCCAGGTCTGAGCCCGAACAACCCAGGGGTCCTAGCCCGTCTCGGTTTGAGGATCAGAGACTGGCTCAGAACGCTAGTGTCACGGCTCGCGCTCCTCCCCTGCCCTCGGGTAGGGGTAGGAACAATCGCGGGTCAAAGGAAGGTAAGTAAAAAATCTAAGCGATGTCATCCAGACAGGGCGTCAGCGCTTTTGTCCGGATCAGAGTGATACCTCAGTATCTACTCATTTCCTTCGGGGGTCTTACATCTGCCCTTATCTTCACCTTCCTAATTCCCCTGTAACCACCATCTCTCCACCTGACCGAGGTTAGGTGGGAAATTTCCTGCATTATAGTCTCCTATGCTGGACCTATTAGGTTTGGTTGGTTATATGGCTTCATAGTGACCGTCTTACTGATGGTCCGGTCTAGAGACTTCTTCGGACAGTGCTCCAACACGGGGGAACCATGGTGGGTGAGTACGATCCATGTCTAAATATATGTATATATAAATATATATATGTGTGTGTATAAACTAATGAGCTGGTGGTTGTGTGTATAACCCTTCTGCTAGTTTCTTTGCAGTGTTTCCTGGGACCTGTGTGTTTCTGTCCCTTTTCTAGGGTAGGTCCTCGATGAGCATCCCCTCTGCTGGGTTCAGAAACCGGGTACTCGATTTGCAGTGTTATTTCACTCGTCGATATATGTCCAGACGGTAGGAAAATCCTCTAGGTTTCTTGCCATGCTGCGGACGCAAGCTTCAGACGAAGAAGTGAATGATGTGTGCTCCCGGCGCCTATTTATACTATAGTCGCACCGGTAGTGACGTCATGGCTGTCGCCGGCCAACGAGTTAGTGTTTTTCAATGTATGCTTCAGACACGGGTCACGACGAGGCATTCCCCATAGCGACCCCTAGAGGACGCAGTGTCTCGTTCCCTACTCAGGGAACCATGGTTACATAAGTAACCTGAGACGTGTTTTGTTAAATGGGCTAGGTTCCTGAAACCCTGATTGAAAAGTCTGTTCAAATGCTCATTGCGTAATATGCATAAAACTTATTATTCTCTTTACAACCAAGTCTTAACAGAAAGTTTCGGATCTAATAGTGACACATATTGACAGATATCAGATCTATATTGATAAAAAAATCTGATAAAACTTTTTGACTCCTCCCTGAGTTTTTTCCCTAAGTGGTCAGACAAAAGTGCTTTTAAACCCATAAATTCTTTCATTAATTCATGAATTCTTCTTTTTCACATTAATTATTCTTATTTGTGTTTAATCATATTTGAAGTGGAACTACATTTCTAAGTGGATGAATGTCCAGTTATTTGTCACTGCTGTAAATTCTTTGTGTATCATATGAAAATCACTGTGTTAATTGGTTTCCATTTTCATGAAATGGAAAATAGCTCATGTCACATATAAAGTATATATCCATATTAAAGTTGCTTGTATTTGAACCCACAACATTACTGAAAGATCCTGACATTTGAACCTTGACGTGAAGAAAAAGGTTTGTACCTTTTTTACATATAACGAGAGGTCCAATGAGACCTGAGGCGATGTCTTTGGGGGCGTTAACATGCGAGTGGTATATTCTGGTCAGGCAGTTAGTGTCATCTTTTCCAGGAGTATGGGAAGCCGATAGCGTCCAAATATAGGTGAACGACTTTTCAGGGGCCACTGAATCATCAGCTTTCTCCACCTTTTCTGACGAGTCGGGATATAGTGCTCCTGGAGAGAAATCCCATGATAAATAATTTATGAGCAAGAGTATGTGATCAAAGGAATCCAAACACTTATTTGACATCACCTTCATTGGACTTGTTGTAACTGAGGCCGTGTGCATGGATGGAGTACGCTCGTTTGGCCATGTTCTTCAGGTGCACAATAACTATGTCATCTTCTTCTGCACTAATGAGGGGTCCGAGGTAGCCCAACCACTTGGGTTTTTCTATCTCCTGCCTGTAGGTGGCGTCAGTATATTGCAGGTACACTGCTTTCTTATACACCCGCCCGATTCGCTGCTCTCCCTTCTCCAGAAACACCCGTGCTTCTCTGTCAAACACCAAAACATAATTTTCCATTTAGTTTTTACATGCACTGAAGTAATAACGTTATTACTTAGGGTTAAGTGTTTGTTGAAGATCCAGACTCTAAAGCTGCATTCGCACTGACAACTAAAATATCTGCAGAAACAAAGCAACTGGAGCTCATTCATTTTCATTGTTGAAATCATTCATTTTCAATGTACGGCAAATAAAAAAAAAATTGAATAATAGGCAGGAGCAATATACAAGTGAAATTGTCATTAAACTTCCAAAGAAGTACAATAATCAGTTCTAAATAGCAACTAGAGTGCATTTAAAATGAATAAATGTTTACTAAAATGTTATAAGCTATTTTCTTGCAACTCATAACTCAGTTTTGTTCAGTGTTTGTACTCACTCATCTTCTTTTATGGTTTTGTTCTGAATCAGATTTATACCACTAGGAGCATAATCCCACTGAATCTCCTTAATGGCCAAAAAATATTCCCTTGTGATAGAAGACACGATTCCAGCACAACACAAAACCCCGAGTAGCATCCACTGCAGCCCCTTCATTTTGGATCCCTAGGATTTGACTATCAAAATGGAGCAGATGCTTCACCTCTTTAAATGATGAAGGGTGACAGAAGTCAGCCAATCACAACAGACCTGGAGAGGGTAAGTTGACTTAGACAAACACACAGCTGGCGGTCTGGAAAATACATGACTCCATGAATTTACTGGCAGTATGTGACCCGATGAACTCTAGGAAACTCCTGTATGTCAGAAAACCCTGTGTCAGTTTTGTTGGCAATCATCAACCATCTGTCTGATAAAGCTTGTCCCTGAGTCGGTGTAATATCTCCCACTGGGATGCTTTGAATTAGTTTTGAGACATTATGTTGTCTTGGTTGGACAATTTATAGATACAATACCAGCCAAGCAAACAAAATATTATATGAACTGGATAAGATTTGTAAAGAAAAGTAGTCACCCCATTTCTTGAGTGTGTTTGTGCATGATTGACGTGGGAAACACTGCTGACCAGAAAAACCCAACTTGTATGCATTACGTAAAAATCAATAGGGTTTGGGGTATTTGTCTCATGTTGAGTTGAGAAATGTTTGATTATTGGGACTTGACAACTCAGCAGTTGAAATGCTTTAAAGGTGACATATCATGCCCCTTTTTGCAATATGTAATACTGTATAAGTCTCTGGTGTCCCCAGAATGTGTCTGTGAAGTTTCAGCTCAAAATACTCCACAGATCATTTATTATATCATTTTGAAAATGCCTATTTTGAGTGGAAGTAGAAGCAAGCTGTTTTTCGGGCCTGTGTCTTTAAATGCAAATTAGCTGCTGCTCCCCGCCCCCTTTTCCAGAATAGAGCTGTGCCATTACAGCTCGGACCGGCTAAAACATCTCTTTTGGTTCTGATTTTCATGTTTATCATGCTGAAATCGTGTTTTAAACCATATTAGTTTAAACTTCTGATATATGGTTTTCTGAGCGCACACATCCGAAGCACACGCACAGAAAGCAGCTGTCACAGCATGTGAGTACTAAACTAAGTTCTCATTCACACACAAGTTTACATTAAAAACACACGAGTTACAAAAACAGTGGGTTATGTCTGTGAAGGTAAACAGCTGGGAAATAAATTGCATGTTTATTTTAGATCTGTGTGGCAGCAGCAATATACAGGAGCCTAAATAAATCAGTAAAGGCACTGCTCTGTGGGCTCCTCTGAGGCTGGGACTGTAAACAGTGTTCTGTGCTCATCTGTGCAGACAAAGACAGAACAGTTAGCATGTTTTTCCTTAAACTTTCACCATGGCATTAGAGCTGGTACAACGTTGTCCCTTGCGAAATCAAAATGACGGCGCTTTGAGTGGAAGATTACAGATTAAGGGGCGGTAATATTATAATGAGATCCCTTTGCCACATCACCAAGGGAGCGAAATCAGACGCGCTCGTTTTCTCAGACGCTTGCAAAAAAAGGCTTACCAAAACAAAGTTACTGAGTTAAACTTTTTCACGTTTCCTTGGTTGGTAGATGCACCAGGGACCTGATTATAGCACTTAAAACCTGGAAAAGTAAGATTTTCATGATATGTCACCTTTAAAACTCAATTTAAATGCACTGGGACAAATCATTTTTAAATAATAAATCAAGCTATGCTATGCTAATATTTGTTGACAAGTCATACTTCACTACTCATAAACAGGAGAGATAGGGCGAAAGTCAAGAATTGGCCCCAGTGCTGTTTGTACAGAATTACAAACAGATAAAAAGATTTGTTGACTTTGCAACTTACAATAAAGTCAACATATAAACCTAACATTTTCAGCAACATGAAGTCAGCTAAAAGGTCTCACCCACTACACTATGCCAAAGAAATTTCAGGAATGATTATGAGGAATAAAATGAGTGAAATGTAGCCATCTAGGAAAGGCTGCAAAAGCTATTGTAAAGGTTGTGGGACTCCGAAGAACCACAGTGACAACCACAAATCTCTAAATGGATAAAACTTGTACCACAATTGGCTGACTTAACAAAATTCCTCTAAAAGCATATCAACATCTCATCCAGGAAGCCATAAAAGAGCCAAGGACAACATCCATGGGACTGCAGGAATCTTTCACAGCAACAGAGGTCAGTGTTCACAACTCCACATCACAAAGACATGCCAGAAGTGGCATCCCATGGAAGAGTGACAAGGTGAAACCCACTGCTAATCCAGAAGAACAAGTCAAATCAAATTGATTTGTATAGCGCTTTTCACAATACACATTGTTTCAAAGCCGCTTTACAGAAAATCAGAATGTTCATGTTTAGAATATCTTCATATCTTCATTCCATATTAAGGCTTATCAAAATGTTCCCAAAACACACCTTGATGATCCTCAAAACCTTTGAGAGAATGTTCTTTTAGTCAAAAGTGGAGCAGGAGGTCTTTCTGTGTGGAGTTTGTATCTTCTCCCCTCGCTGGTGCAGGTTTTCTGTGAGTGCTCTGGTTTCCTCCACAATCTAAATTGTGCCTATGGCCTGAAGCGCTGGAATAGGCTCTAACATCCCTGTGAGCCTAAGTTGATTGGAAGATGGATGGGTGAATTCTGTACTCTACCAGAAAATACTGACGAAAATGTGAAGCACAATGATCCCAAGCAAAGGAGTAAATACACCCCTGAATTTCTAGTTGAACCTGAACCTGATTGAGATGCTGTGGCAGGACTTTATACTACACTGTACAGTTCATGCTGTAAAACATTGGTCTCAAACTCAATTCCTGGAGGACCACAGCTCTGCACAGTTTAGCTCCAACCCTAATCAAACACACATAATCCAGATAATCAAGCTCTTCAGGATCACTAGAAACTTCCAAGCAGGTGTGATTTGGAGCTAAACTTTTCTTCCAGGATTTGAGTTTGAGACCACTGTTGTAAAACCTCCAGTGGTGCTGAGCGAAAGCAGTTCTGCAAAGAAGAGTGGGCCAAAATGCCACCTCAGCTATGTGAACCTCTTGTTCTCTAATGCATTTGGTTGAGAATTTTTGCTACTAAAGTTGGCTTGACCATTTATTAAGTTAATAGGACAATATGGATGTATTATAGAGATTGTATACTAAGAAAAATACAAGAAATCACAAATAAATTTCACAGCTCTGTAGCTAAAGAGTTTATGCTCACATACTTATGTAGCTTATGTTGGGCCAGAAATCTGCATGTTCTCAATTTAGGTACCAAGAGGATTTGGGCAAGATCTACAGTGTGACACAGATTTATGTTCCAGGGATTATTGCTGAGTTTTACATTATCCAGCATTCCCAGGGGATTTTTGCCCTTTTCTTATATCGTAATTGTGAAAACCACCAAAATGTGAAATTACACACACAATTAACAAACAAAAAAAAAGTAGTCTAAAACGAGACCTATTTATTCATTGATGGGAATATTTAAAACATCTTTTATAGGTATATAAAACAACATTCATCATCTGTACTTCTATCACTCTCAATATTTAAATAATTTACAAAACAACTTCCTGTACAAAACGAACAGAACTCACAAAAAATACATTTATATTTTAGCAAAATGCACATTGCAGGTAGTGTACAATGCAAATGTTTGTTTTATACAGAAAACATGCACTGCTAAAACAAACTCGGCCGGTGTGGTGTGGAAATGTGCTGATGCATTCAGCTCAAACGTGGTGACTTAGTGTTGACATTTTCATTCAAATGACGTTCATGGCGTCGTGATGGCTCAGCGGCTCTGCTGCAGATGAGCAGTTCTTTTTCTCAATGACTGAGGCTGGGAAAACGCTCCGTCCTCAAGCGTTTAGACTGTACTCCTGTTTGTAGCAGCATGGCCGGCACACTGCGTTAACCAGTCCGCTGACGAGCTGCAGGAAACAGAGAAGGAACTCCAGGGTGCTGAGACCCAACAGGATGGACAGCAGCGTCACATTCCACTCCACAATGTGTGCCGGCTGAATGCATTCAGACCACTTCTCTCGAGCAAACAGATACCTGAACAAACGGAGGAAAATAGTTCAAGACTTGTTTCTTATGAAGTCACCATCAAAGCAGTTTCAAAAGAAAAAAATGAGCTCATACCTTCCGCCATCATTCTCAAAAGGAGACATCCATCCCATCTGAGTGAAGCAATACGGCCCCTTCAAGAGCGCCACAGCGGAGATCAGGAAGCAGTATGCAGAGCCGGCTAATCCCAGCAGAGCCGCGAACACCGAACCACACATCTACACACACAAGGTCAAACTGATGAGTCTGGCTGATCTGTGCAACATGTCTCCCTTCCCAACACTCACCGCACAGCTGTCTGTTCCGCAGGAATCCACACACTTCCCCATTCCCAGAAACACGCAGGCCGGTATCAGCATCTGAATGTGGACAATGAGTTTTTAGTACAAGTTAGTTTATGTACAATATTTTATAAATGAGGCCCCAGGTCTGTCCCAGACTCACCCTATATTTAACCCTTCTAATATTTAACCCGTTCGTACAATCTACAAGGGTAGATTGTACGAACAGTTATGAATGAGATTGTACGAATTCAGCACCAATTCACCAAATCGTGAAATACTTTCAAATTGTTTTCAAATTGTTGCTCATTACACACACACACACACACACACACACACAGGTTTGTTTTTATGGTTTATGGGGACTCTCCATAGGCGTAATGGTTTTTATACTGTACAAACTGTATATTCTATTGCCCTACACCAACCCTACCCCTAAACCTACCCCTCACAGGAAAATTTCTGCATTTTTAGATTTTCAAAAAAACTAATTCTGAATTATTTATAAGCCTTTTGAACTACAGGGAAACTGAAAATGTCCTCATAAATCACCTTCTCGTTGTAATATATCTATGTCATACCCATGTTATTATACAAATTTGTGTCCTCATAAACCACATAAACATGCACACTCTCTCACACACACACACACACATGCACGCACGCACACACACGCACGCACGCAGGCACACACACACACTCGCTCACACACACACGCACACACTCTCTCACATGCACGCACGCACACAGACACACACAACTGCACAGACAAGCTTTTGACCTTATCAATACACAACCAAGAATCTTGCACAGTCACACTTCCAATTAACTTTTGTTGTTTTTATATTATGCCTGCTATATTTTCTATACCCTAAACCAAAACCTTACAGTTTTTATACATATTTTTGCATCAAGTTGGTGATTTTTCATTAGCTTAACCCTGACTTTAACCTCTTAAACCAACCCTTAGTAATCTAACCTTAACTTTTATAAATATTTATCATTTTTACATTTGAATTAGGACATTAGTGTGCTTATTCAGTTTTTCCTCATAAAGACGTTGAAGCATCCACAATCCAGAGAGGGTTTTTCAATCCTCCAACATTACTCCACACGTCTGCCCAGAACCAGGACACAAGACAACATTTACAGCAACACAAATCTGATACTCACCACCAAACCACCTCCTCCGATTCCCATGAAGTACCAGACATATTTGGTCACATGCTCATCCTGAATGAAGTTGATCTTTCCATCGGGAAAGAAGAGCAGGACATTTGCCACGATGCAGCAGGTGGCGAGAGGGATGAGGGCAAAACCCAGAGACCTGGCGAAGGCCAGAGAACACATCTTCACACGGAGCAGAGGGAGTGAGTGGAGGCGGCTGTAATCCGGGACAGGAAAGTAGGGTGGAAGGGTTTTAAGAAGCTACCCCCCTCCTCGGCCCCCCATGAGGAGGAGGAGACAGGAAGCATGCTGACATTATACAGTATGACTGGAAACTCTCTGACAGAGTATATGACCGGAAATTTTTATTTGTTTCACTACAAGGTTGACATTGTAATGGACAAAACAGAAAATAGAGACTTATTTCAATATTTTTTTAATAATGTCTTTAATTACAAAACATACAAAAACTAAGATGTTTTGTGGTGAATTTTTTTTTTTTTTTAGCATAGTCAAAGTTGGTATCAGCTATTCATTGTCATGAAATAAATGAACTTTTCCACGACATTCTAATTTATTGAGATGCACCTGTACATACTACGCTTTTAAAGGTTCCAAGGTTTCAAAAAGGAGTTTTCACAGAGATGCCATAGAAGAACCATTTTGGAGCCAGTTTTAATAATCTAACAAACCTTTTTTTCCATAGAGAACCTTTTTGGAAAGGTTCCACTGGTGTTGAAGGTTCTTTTTGGAACCATAGGCACCAATCAAGAACATTTATTTTTAAGAGCGTACCGTTCAAAACAAAACAAAGCAAAACTTTTGAGCAGTAGTGTAGGTAATGTATATCTGCAGATGGCTTGTGTTTCAACCTTTTACACTTCTGATTTGACACTGTAGATGGTATCACTTACTGTAAGGTAGATCACACACACATGAAATTCGCTTTAATATAAAACTTGTTCTCCCAGACAGCAATGAGATGAAGTTTTGATGAAGTTTCCTTAGTATCCCCCCGAGAAAACAGAATGTTTCTCCTTTAGAGTTTCAGAAGTGATGTCAAAAAAAGACATTGAGGAAAACACCTGAGACAACACTGACACTTGGATGGAAATCAATGAAGACAACGTAATCAATGAAAAAGAAAATGTACATACTTTTGCACACTTTTGTTTATGGTGTAAAAATCTGTATTGAGCCAGATAAATCTGAAGCAACGGGATGACATGTCTGCAGTGTCTGTGTGATCCAGGATTAGCCGTTGGTGTAATCAGGCTTTATGAATAAAACGGCCTGTTATGAGGAAGTATGGCAGTATATTATGTAACTCAGCAGTTTTCCACAGAGGATACAGACGCCCACTGTTGTGCTTGCTGAGCTGTGTGCCGAGGGGCTCCGAGAACAAAAAATATGCTTGTGTCTTGGAAAGCATCTGTAATATGACAAAAATGAGTGTTGTGGAACCGCCTCGATGAACTTCATGATCATCTGATAGTAGTTCAATATCAATGTATTTTAGTATGCCATTGATCTAAAACTGTACTGTGTTAATAAGAGTTCAATAACTTCTGCTTGTGTGTTGACTTTTTGTGAAAAAGTACACTTTAAATTACTTTAAATACTTTACGAGTATCTTATTACACTTTAAAAGAATATACTTGAACGTGAACTGAAAACACTGTAAAAATGATTTTCTTAGTATTTCTGTCTTGTTTTCTAGTATAAACATGTAAAAACTCTTGAATCAAGATGTGAGATGACTTAAGATAATGTCTTGTTTTCTGAAAAATATATATATATATATTTTATTAATAATTTTATAAAAATATTAACATTTAGTAAGTTTTTGCCTAAAACAAGCAAAAATATCAGCCAATGGGGCAAGAAAAATAATACTGTTTAGCCTTTGAATTAAGATTAGTTTTCTTACCTCAACTAAAAAAATTTTTTTTAGAAAACAAGACTTAAAATCTTATACTTGTCAAGTAAATGCATCTTAATTCAAGCATGTTTAGACATTATTTATACTAGAAAACAAGGCAAAAATACTAAAAAAAAATTTTTGCAGTATAATGTTTTCAGACATTTAATTGCATGTTAACCTGCAATTAAATGAAAATGTATTATAGTTTACATTTATATTAAATGCAATTAGCTGAACTTTGTGTTTTGACTCACTTAAGTAGAAATTAAGTACATCTTTATATGTATTTTCATAATTATTTATACAGCATTTGTCCTTGAAATATGGTTCGAGTGTACTGCTGAATGTACCAACAAGAAATAAACTAAAATAAGATGATAGATAGATAGATAGATAGATAGATAGATAGATAGATAGATAGATAGATAGATAGATAGAAATATACTTGAACGTGAACTGAAAACACTGTAAAAATGATTTTCTTAGTATTTCTGTCTTGTTTTCTAGTATAAACATGTAAAAACTCTTGAATCAAGATGTGAGATGACTTAAGATAATGTCTTGTTTTCTGAAAAATATATATATATATATTTTATTAATAATTTTATAAAAATATTAACATTTAGTAAGTTTTTGCCTAAAACAAGCAAAAATATCAGCCAATGGGGCAAGAAAAATAATACTGTTTAGCCTTTGAATTAAGATTAGTTTTCTTACCTCAACTAAAAAAATTTTTTTTAGAAAACAAGACTTAAAATCTTATACTTGTCAAGTAAATGCATCTTAATTCAAGCATGTTTAGACATTATTTATACTAGAAAACAAGGCAAAAATACTAAAAAAAATTTTTGCAGTATAATGGTTTCAGACATTTAATTGCATGTTAACCTGCAATTAAATGAAAATGTATTATAGTTTACATTTATATTAAATGCAATTAGCTGAACTTTGTGTTTTGACTCACTTAAGTAGAAATTAAGTACATCTTTATATGTATTTTCATAATTATTTATACAGCATTTGTCCTTGAAATATGGTTCGAGTGTACTGCTGAATGTACCAACAAGAAATAAACTAAAATAAGATGATAGATAGATAGATAGATAGATAGATAGATAGATAGATAGATAGATAGATAGATAGATAGATAGATAGATAGATAGATAGAAAGACAGACAGACAGATAGATAGATGACAGACAGACGGATAGATGACAGACAGATACATAGATGATAGACAGACAGACAGACAGACAAATATATAGATGACAGGCCGGCTGGCAGTCAGATAGATAGATAGATGATAGACTGACAGACATATAGACAGATAGATAGATGGATAGATAGATAGATAGATAGATAGATAGATAGATAGATAGATAGATAGATAGATAGATAGATAGATGACAGGCAGACAGACAGACAGACAGATACATAGATGATAGACAGACAGACAGACAGACAGACAAATATATAGATGACAGGCCGGCATGCAGGCAGATAGATAGATAGATGATAGACAGACAGACAGATAGATGACAGACAGATACATAGATGATAAACAGACAGACAAATATATAGATGACAGGCCGGCAGGCAGGCAGATAGATAGATAGATGATAGACAGACAGACAGATAGATGACAGACAGATACATAGATGATAAACAGACAGACAAATATATAGATGACAGGCCGGCAGGCAGGCAGATAGATAGATAGATGATAGACAGACAGACAGATAGATGACAGACAGATACATAGATGATAGACAGACAGACAGACAGACAAATATATAGATGACAGGCCGGCAGGCAGGTAGATAGATAGATGATAGAAAGACAGACAGATATATAGATGATAGACAGACAGACATATAGACAGACATATAGACAGAC